AAACTCTTATTCATGCCTTCATCATCTCCAGGCTCGACTATGCAAACGCCCTGCTTGTCCTCCCTCCACAGGCTGCAGATAATCCAGAACTCTGCAGCCCGTGTCCTCTCCCACACCAAACTCCGTGACCCCGTCTCTCCCACTCTCACCTGACTCCATTGGCTCCCTATCATTCAGAGGATCCAGTTCAAGATCCTGGTCCTCACATACAAAGCCCTCCATGGCCTCGCCCCACCCTACCTCTGCGACCTCCTAACCCCCTACCAACCTGGCCTTTCCCTCCGCTCAGCCGGCTCTGGCTGCTCCACGTCCCTCGACCCACCCGCCCCACCATTGGCGGGAGAGCCTTCAGCCACTCTGCCCCCAACCTCTGGAATTCCATCCCCCAGTCACTCATCCTCGTCCCCTCCTTCAAGTCCTGCCTCAAGACCCTCCTCTTCGACCATGCCATCGGTCACCCCCCTTCCCCTCCCCTCCCTTCTCCCCCCATGACCGTAGCTCGGATCTGAAATGCTGTACTCTGTCCAGTGCCTTAGGACGTCCTCCTGAATGTGAAAGACACTATACAAATGTAATCTTGCTGTTGCTTTTTAAAGGTTAAACTGTTCATTATTCAAAACTTTCAATGGAGTAAGCAGACTCTGTGTATGTGTACAATTGCATAACAGATACACAAATTGACTGCATTTGATGCCTATTTTCGAAAACTATTGGCTTGAACATCATTGTGTTACAAAGTTGAAATGAAGCTAATAGAAATAAAGATTGGCTTGGTTGATCGTACTCTTCCTGTGAGTCTGAAGGTTGTGCAGAGCTGGGGTGTACTCCGGATATCTCTTGGAAGCCAAGTTGATTTTTTAATAATAATACTTGCATTTGAAATAGTACCTTATCACATCTTCGAGATGTCTCCAAAAGCGCTTCACAGAATATATTGTAAAGTGAATTGACTACATTTTGCAGGCAAAACATGGCAACCAATTGCGCACAGCAGTGTTGCACAAACCGTTGTGGATTAAGTGACCAAATTATTATTATTTTGTAAGGGATTGTTATCCCTGGAAAATGATCCGCCAATCATTAACAATCGGATTCCTACTTATTGCTAGGTAAACTGAGGCGTGTGGAGTAAGGAAACTTGCCTAAGGTTTTAACCTGCCCGGGAATTGAACCCAGGGCCTCTTGCTCGTGAGGCTATTTATATTAAGTTATTTGCAATAACTGCAATACCAATTTCTTTTATACTGCACTTGATTTCTGAAGCCATCTCCTGAGATTTCATTAGTGGGTTTCTGAATGAAATTTGTGTATTTAAAGCTGGTATACAATTTTACATATATTTTTGTTTCAACCACAGTAGTATAATGGACATCAGTTTTGTTGTTATTGCTCCCTCTGCTGAGTGAATACCAGTCTGCGTTTTGTCACTTGCTGAATCTACCCCACCGTCAGTGGGCGAACTTTTAGCCATTGTGAACCTGCTCTCTGGACCTCAATTTTTGAGTCTCTCCTCCTTGTCCCCCTCATACTACACTTGTATTGAAGTGTCTTTATTTGCAGAATGTTTGTTATGAAAATTGAGCAATTTGTTTTAATTGAAAAAAATAATGATTCCTTGTTTACCTTTCCTCGTTCTCCCTCCCCCAACTACCTCCATCACAATGTTCTGAGTCAAATCCACGTGGTCAGAATTGCCATAAAGAAAGCTACTTGGGTTTCTGAAACTGTAATTTAGAAATGAAAAAAAGGATATAATGGAAAAAATAATGGTTATATTTGAAGCAATCTTAATCAAGGGCTTCAGGAGGTGGAAGTTTTAAGCATTGAGTTTATAATTATCTAAACCTCAGGAGCCTGTTGCTTTGTAATCATTTTGTGTTATTTTTAAAAATATATTTAATTTCAATGTAAAGGATCTTAAATTACAAGAGATAGCACAAATAATACCAATGTGCCATTGTCCAGTACATATAATTACACTTTTGAGATCTAACATGGTAAAAACAGTACTATGGCTGTTTGTTGGACATTGATGTACGGAAATTGACTGCCGCTTTACCCACAAAATACACAGTCGCACCACTTTGCATTATATCTTGTGAAGTGCTTTGAGATGTCTCGATAGCGTAATGGCACCATATCAAATGCAATGATTATTTATTATTATATTTATTATTTTTATTATTTTCACTTCTAGAAGACGTGAAAAGCGCTATATCAAATGCAAGGATTATTATTACAATTTTTTCTTTGAGCTCTGAACTCAAACCTTTCAATATTTCTCTACTTTGATATGAAAGAAAACCAGCAATGGTAAAGGGAAATAATTGTGCAGACAATTATCTCAGTAGAGAGATGATTATCTGCACTAATTGGGGCACCTGTCCAATTGATGCTCTTTCTAAATATTACTTCTTTCTCTTTCTTCACTCCTCCCCAATCTATTCCTGAGTCACTGACCATGCACTGTAGATTGCCAAATAAACTCTTTTGCGCTGCTGTCTCACAATTGTGTTTGTAGCTACATTGTGGTTCCAGAAATCTCGCCTGGTATACTCAACATTTTAATTTTTCCTGGTAATGCAGCCTCAAGTGTATGGATAAGTGGACATTTAGATTGTTAAGTTAGCTTGTAGATACTGTACGATCTGTGAATGTTCTGTGAACGCGGAATGCAATGGCACAGAGACAGAAGCAATTGAGGAGATAGGTATTTGGCACGTATGGGTGTAGAAAACGTCTGGAGAAAAAAAAGGGGGAAAAGGGATTAAAAGATCTTGCCATGATCTAATAAACTGGTGGAACAGGCTCGATTGACTGTGTTTCTAACCACAATTGGGTTACCGCCCATCATGTCACTGTTGTCTCCTTTCCCGTGTATTAAAGGCAGACCATTGTTGCTGTTGTAAATATTATGGCTTACAATAGATTTAGTTCTTTTTATAATTAACAAAGCATTGTTTTGATCTGAAGTGGTGTAAATATTTCTTTGAATTCAAACTTTTCTTCTAATATTTCCCTGCTTCGAGATGAAAGTGTTTGAATTCTGGCTCATTTTTGATAAGGAGAAAATGAACCAAATTACATTGCTGTAAATCACTTTATTCCCGATTGTATTTCTACATGCGCTCACTGATTTCTCTTAATATGAACTAAATTACAACTCCACCTTTCAATTTGTCATGACACACATACATACTAACAATTCAATTTTTTTGGGGGGGTCAGCTGGGTGTTATTGCCTTGCTTCAGAACATCTAAACCATACAGAGAATTCCATATATGTATGCCAGTTACACATGAAAATTTCCCTGCATCTGTAATAGAATCCACAAAATCTCCTTGTAGGAACACACCAGTCTTAGCTAATTCCAGAGAGTATTAGGTGCAGGTTGGCAAGGTACAGATCTTGTTATAATCAGCGTGTTATACCTACATTTCAATGCAGTAAATGATGAGGACATCTGTTCTAATGATTATAGGCAAACGGAGTTTAAAAAGCAGATGAGCTTTAGCTGAACTCATGCATGATCTTGTAGAAATTCCAAGTTTATTGTCTTCTTTAGAAAACAGCTGTCTGTGGTATTGAAAACTATAGAGTATGTCAGGAAGCATTAAATCTGTTTTTATCTGACAGTGTGTTTGCAATATTTATAGTTGAATTTCACCTTCCTAGTTAAAGCGAAACAGGAACATTTTTACAACCTGCTGCTTCCTTTCTTCGTGGCTGTTGAATACTTGTGAAAAGGGTAGGGACTTAAATTCATAAAGAGTGGAAAACGGTTGCTTGTCAGCCCTGTAACAACAACAACAAATTTACATTTGTACAGCGCCTTTCACGTCGGGAGGACGTCCCAAGGCGCTAGACAATCAATGTTTCAGACCTGAGGTGGGGATAGGGGAGGGTATGAGCTAATGGAGGGGTGAGCGAGGCGGGGCAGGTGAAGCAGGCCGGAGCCCGCTAGGTGGAGGGGGCGAGCAGGTTGGTAGGGTGCTAGGAGGTCACAGAGGTAAGGGGGAGCAAGGCTGTGGAGGGCTTTGAAGGTGAAGATCAGGAACTTGAACTGTATCCTCTGTGTGATGGGAAGCCAGTGGAGTTGGGCGAGGATGAGTGTGATAGGCACAGAGCCTGGTGCGGGAGAGGACACGGGCTGCAGAGTTCTGCTTGATCTGCAGCCTATAAAGGGAGGAGTCGGGGAGACCGACAAGCAGGGAGTTTGTGTAGTCAAGTCTGGATGTTATGAATGCCTGCAGATGATGTCACCAAGTGGGAGCATATAGATATTGAAGAGGAAGGGACCAAGGACAGAGCTCTGAGGAACGCCGCACGAGACGGTATGGGGGCTAGGTGAGAAACCGTTTGTGGAGATGAAGTGGAGACGGTGTGATAGGTAGGATCTGAACCATTCAAGGACAGAACCATGAAGGTTGAGGTGAGGAGAGACGGTGGAGGAGGATAGAGTGGTCAACGGTATCAAAGGCAGCAGTGAGGTCAGGAGGATGAGGAGGCAGAGGGACTCCTGGTAACAACAAAGGAAACATCTTTACTGCAGACATCCTTTTGCCAAGTTCCATGTTTGCCTTCTGCCAGCTTTTGATTGTCTAAACTTGCTTATGCAGCCACTCACAAGGGAATCTGGATCAGATTTTACTATTGCTTATCAGTTCAGTGGCACGGCACATTGTTTCCGTCTTATCACCAAAACACCCACCCTTAAAATAGTGACCACAATTGCATTGGCTTGTTCATTGTGGGAATCTGTTGATTAGCAGAATAATACAAAGTGGATTCCTTGTGAATTTTATAAAGCAGTCTTCAGTACTTTTGCAGAAAAACTTAATGTTGAATAGTAATTTTTTCAGACTGAACCATATGGCTCTTACTTTCAATTCTTCCCCTCTCCCTCTCTCTCCCACCTATAAATTTCTCTGATGTTCAATATTTGACAAATTATTACTAATAACTAGTAATTATTAATTATTATTAGTTTTTCTTTCAGGTGGTGTCGTGTGAGGAAGCTGCCAGGAAGTACAAGTAGGACTGATGGGATGTCCTGATTTTAATTGCAGCAGGTGAAAAAGGAATATGTCTATTCACTATTAATAGGTGTGAGTTTCTTTGCTGAAACTAAAGTGATAAGTCCTCGTCCTTTGAAAGAGTTGATAGCCACTGCTTTCAGCTGCTGACCTCGCTTAAACTACAATCTCCTACGTGGTTTTCTTTTCTATCCTTCAAAATGACGATGGCAAGTTTGTTTTCGTTTACCAGCCCAGCTGTCAAACGTCTGCTGGGCTGGAAACAAGGAGACGAAGAAGAAAAGTGGGCAGAGAAGGCAGTTGATGCCCTGGTTAAGAAGTTAAAGAAGAAGAAGGGAGCGATGGAGGAATTGGAGAAGGCTTTAAGTAGCCCTGGTCAACCCAGCAAGTGTGTTACCATCCCAAGATCGCTAGATGGTCGACTCCAAGTGTCTCACAGGAAAGGTCTTCCACACGTTATTTACTGTCGAGTGTGGCGCTGGCCAGATCTTCAAAGCCACCACGAGTTAAAACCATTAGACGTTTGTGAATTTCCTTTCGGATCCAAACAGAAGGAGGTTTGCATTAATCCCTATCATTATAAAAGAGTGGAAAGTCCAGGTATGTACAAAATATTTACTACCTACTTTTGACAACTTTGTTCAGATTACTTCAAAACATTTATGGTTTTATTATTTCTAATATAATTTCCTAATATTCTCGTGTGGGACATGCTTTGACTTCTATTTCCTATTCATATTTAATTCTTTTAACTTGCTTTCCTGTGCACCTAGAGTCTCACTATCTGTTTTGGAAGTGATACTCTTGGAAAATGTTGCCATTGTCCAGTTGAGACATCGACTATAAATTGATCTAATGTCTTCGTGCTCTGATTAAAATAGTTTTTATGAGAAAACAAAATTGATGAATCGCAAGGAAAATATTTTTTAACTAAAGAAACACTACACGTGCCTATGAAAATATTACATTGAAATCTGTTCTCTTTTAATGACCTGATGGCATAGTTCAATTTCAATGAATGGAGTTTCTGCTACAGTAAAAACTTCCTGAAGTGGTTAATGTAGTTTTCAAAGCATGATATTCTTGAAGCTGAGTCTGCTTGAAACACTGCACTATCATGGCATTATAGTACTGCTTTTCATTGATGCTTGTGGACTTTGAAAAGGTCCACATGCACGGTAGGTTAGAAATATGAATGTGGCATTGAAGTCTGTATTGGAAATATTTAGTATTACTGCTGTAATTATTGCTATTTTTGTCAGCTCAGAAAGCGATAAACCAAGATTAAACTACAATGATATGCAGCAGGACCTAATTTGACTGCAGTTGAAATCTCTCCACCTCCTTCCTGCACCACCCATTTGGTTAGGCCTTTGGGAATCATTAGAAAGGCAATCTTTGTTGGATCAATGATGAGATTATTAACCTTGACTTGTTGGCATCAGCTGAAGGACAATGTAGAAACACTGAAGTAACCATTTGTACAGTTTTCAAATCACAGTGCTTTGTTTAGTTAATCTTTTGTTGCCAGATGCCATAATTTTAACAGTTTTAGCCTTATGAGGAGGATACAGCTGCAGTAAAAATGTGGCTTGATTGAATACCAGAAGATTCTTCATTACTGATGTGGTAATGTTAAAATGGAACATAGTCAACTCTTGAACTCATCACAATGAAAGTTCCCAATACAATATGAACTTGTATTACACATAGGGTGAAATTATTTAGCTCTTTAAGATCAAATGATGTGTTTTTCAGTCTCTCTCTTTCTCCCCCCCACTTAAGAACAATAATAATAATAATCCTTGTATAATAATTAACTTAATTTTAATAAGAATTGTATGTTTACCAGATCTTGTCCTGATTCATGCAATTTAGCTTTTTTTTATCTCCTGCTTTTTGACTGTTCTAATTACATCCCAGTAAACTTGCTTTGCTACTAGATAGGTAGGTCTCTTCTATCAAGATTATTAAATTGCCGATCATTCACCAGTGGTGGTGAGACCATTTGAAGTGTTGAATTCACACAAGAAACATATTGAAACTTTATGTTCATGCTTTAAAGTGTTATATTCAGTATTATGCTTTGTTAGCCTGCTGATCAGTGAAAGCAGAAAGAAAACAAATTCTGACTTGGAATAAATCTCCATACCATTTTCACTGTCAAAATATTTAAATCAACTGCTTTGTTTAATGCAATTTAGCCTTTAATTAAATATTAATGTGTACAGGGTGACCAAAAATTTGTAATACCTTTACAATGTCCAATAAGTCTTAAATAAATTATGATGTTTTTTAGGTAATAGGATAGATATAATGACTTTTTGGTCACCCTGTATAAATCCCAATGACTTAGTTGGAAGAATATTGATCAAAATCCTGTCTGTGCTGAATTAGCTGATCTTAGCCAGGGCAGAGATCTTGCCTGTTACATTTTGGTTAGTGCCCTGAGTTCGGAAGGGGAAAAGGGGAAATTAGCCACGGTTCTCATTCAGAGATCCTTACTGAACGTTGTCTATATGTGGATATTGCTGAGGATCAAATAAGTTTTGTGATAATCTGAAAGGTCAAATAGCCTGTCCAGGTTCACGTAGGGATAGTGGATACTTGGATGAGATGACAGAGAAATTATATTTCAGTAGAAGGAAAAACTAGAGTCTGCTACTTTCAAGACAGTGGAGCAGAATGAATATCCACTCTTTTTCTCTCACTATCTCTAATATTCTTTCAATTAAGTAGTAGAATGTACAACATTGCCAAGCAGTGACTATTTATCTTTTTTTGTTCCAGTTCTGCCTCCAGTCTTGGTCCCAAGACACAGTGAGTTTAATCCACAGCACAGCCTTCTAGTTCAGTTCCGGAATTTGACTCACAATGAGCCTCACATGCCACATAACGCCACATTTCCAGACTCGTTCCAGCAGCCGAACAGTAACCCATTTCCTATTTCACCAAATAGTCCATACCCACCCTCTCCTGCCAGCAGCACCTATCCCAGCTCTCCAGCCAGCTCTGGACCAAGCAGCCCTTTCCAATTGCCGGGTAAGAAACCACAACAACATTTTAACATCGTTTGAGAAAGATGGAATTGGAAATCTTTGAAATGAAAATGTCACCTCATTTTCACAGTAAAGCCTAGCTTTATCTGCTTTAACATCAATATTAAGATTTTTTCGAACAACAGTGTAAATAGATTTAGCATGTGCTGATCTTTAATTTTCTAACATTCGAAAATTTGCCAGGTAGATTTCTAGATTTATTCAATTTTTTTTAGCATATTAGTGAATTTTGTTAACTATTGATCCCACTGTTGTAGTTCTGCAATTTTTTTTCAAGCATGATACATTCTTAAATCTCGACTCTCTTATAAACAGCTGATACTCCCCCACCGGCCTACATGCCACCAGAAGAACAGATGAATCAGGACAATGCTCAGCCTATGGAGACGGGGAATGTGATGATGTCATCTAGCATGCCAACTATGCCTATTATCTCTGCTAGAGGTAAGATCCCAATACATGTTAAACTTGTAAAATGCTCGAGCAAATTTCACTTGTAATTTATTCAGTTATGGCGGTGACATCGCCAGTGATCTGAAGCACTGAAAGTGAAACTCACAGCAAAACAAATACTTGTAACATAGTCTGATATGGAACCCAAAATAACCCTTTATAACTGGGTCTGATCAGATAAACTTTATAAATCAGTTCCCAGTTCATGGCTTGCTAATTTTATTGAATGTTGTAAAATTGTCTTTGTGTTTCTACTCCTGCTTCAGCAGAGCTGCATATTAGGAGGACTTCCGTAGTCTACTTTAGACAGTAGTATTGTGCCTGCTCTTCTCATTCTTGTTTTGAAGGAGGAATCGTCATATGAAGAAAGTTTATTCACAATATTTAGCATCATCTTTCACTGCATACACTCCCAAGACCAACCAAGAGCTGATACAGCTTGGAGACTCTAATGCAAACTGCCTCTCTAGGGGCAAGTACCATTATTGTTTAAACATGATTGCCAAAGACGTCATAAAACCTCACTGAAATAGGCAAATTGAATGGTTTCTTCTGTTAGCTGTGCGTGCTTTACAAACACAATCAGAGGAGTTTCATTTAAAATTAGGACATGCACATCTGTTGTGCTAAATAAATATTAGTGAACCAGCATTTTTATGCTTTTGGAATCTGCACAGGACTTTTAGTAGTGATTAAGCTAAATGGTTTTAAGAATTGAACTGTTTGCATTTTCATATTTTTTTAAAAAAAACATAGACATGAGGGATCGGTGCACATTGCACTTTTAATTTTGGTTTCGGAAATTTATGTGTAGCATTGTAAGCAAGGATTGTGAGGAAGCGAGCTAGGGAGAGCAAAAGTGCCTCAAACTTGTGAACTTTTCTTTTCAACCATTGATTTGCTTTATTTCAGATGTTCAGCCTGTTGCTTATGAGGAGCCCAAGCACTGGTGTTCTATTGTGTACTATGAATTAAATAATCGAGTTGGCGAGGCTTTTCATGCTTCCTCTACAAGTGTTTTAGTGGATGGTTTCACTGATCCTTCCAACAACAAAAACCGTTTTTGTCTTGGCCTTCTTTCCAATGTAAATCGTAACTCTACCATTGAGAATACCAGGCGACACATTGGTAAAGGTATGGTTAACTTTAATGGAATCGTAGAAATTGTAATTTAGTCAAACAAAATATTTGGTTTCCTATTAAGGTCTTTAAAATTATGTCAAAGTTTGTCAATATTCATGTTTCAAATCACTTGTTTGATATTTGTTCGGGTAAATTTTGTAAAAACTGATTCATTGTTTTGAGCCAAAGGTGGTATTGATTTCTAATATTAGTACTCAACTTTTAGCTTATACGATATATAAAGATATGACTTTTTTATGCAAGTTTTTTTTACTGCTCTGGTTTGTATGTGTTAGAGTGCTGCCACTTCTGGTCAAAGATAGTGGTGCAACTTTACAAATATTGGAATACAGTAAAACCATCAGCATTGTATTACATAAGTGCAGTGTAGATTATTGATTAAATCGGATTTTCTACCACTTACAGTTTGCCTGCATCTTGGACTTTGCGTAAGTTATATTAAATGTTATGGTCCCGACTGATGCGACTTACATGAGTTTTACTGTATTTACAATGCAGTGAGAAAAAGACCTCAATAATATGACAATAATAAATGCAATAATAATCCTTGCATTTGATACAGCGCCTAATCACATCTTTGAGACGTCTCAAAGCGCTTCACAGAATATACTGTAAAGTGAATTGACTAGTTTTTCCTAAAAATGCTTTGGTTTATTCCTTTTAGGATGATAATCATTCCTATATTGAGGCTGTCTTTTTTTTAAATCTTTAAAAAAAGGAAGGCTATACCTATTGTAGGTATTGTTAGTTTATATAAAGTAGTGTAACAATAAATAATACCTCTTATTTATGATTTTATAGGTGTCCACCTTTACTATGTGGGAGGTGAAGTCTATGCTGAATGCCTCAGTGACAGCAGTATTTTTGTCCAAAGTAGGAATTGCAACTACCATCATGGCTTTCATCCAACCACCGTCTGCAAGATACCCAGTGGTTGCAGCTTAAAGATTTTCAACAACCAGGAGTTTGCTCAGCTTCTTGCCCAGTCTGTGAATCATGGTTTTGAGGCCGTCTATGAACTCACCAAGATGTGCACCATTCGTATGAGCTTTGTTAAGGTGGGGGGAAAAAGTTAACTGATGGCTTTTTAAAATGTAAAATTAACAATAGTAAATGTGCTTTAAAACTATTAATATTGAAATTAAGACCACAAAAGAATCAAGAAAGCTTGTCAATCAGCATCCATAATGTTTTTCATCATGGAGCCAGCTTGACTCCACTGGATTACTGTTAGCCCTTAAAGGTGGGTCATCAAATTTGGGTTGATGCAGCCTTGATTGGTAGGTAACTAAAGTTTAACTTTAGATTGGTCTGGAAAGCAGATGGGGAGTGGTGTCGGGCTGCTTAAGGACTTTGGAAGAACGTTCTTCCAAAGCGGACACTTAACTAACTGAGCATTCAGGAAATCCTGAATTCAAAACTCATACCTGTCTTTGGCCATAAATAACTTCTGTTTGGGTGTTAGTAACCTTTTTTTTAAATGTTGATGTTCACAGGGCTGGGGCGCGGAATACCATCGACAGGATGTAACTAGCACACCATGCTGGATAGAAATTCATCTTCATGGACCACTTCAATGGTTGGATAAAGTGCTCACTCAGATGGGCTCTCCTCATAATCCTATCTCTTCTGTATCTTAACAGTGAGGTATCATTTACAGGCTTGTGCAAAATACCAGAGGGAGAAATGTTATTTAACTGGACACTGTGAAAGAGCTACTGGATAATGAACAAAGAAAACACTGAATGGAAATCTTGAGATTATGACCAATTACTAATTACTTAACACTACTCCTTAATTGTGTGGTATTTACTTTATTGCCACCTCTGCTTGTTCAGTTAACTCTTTGTTTACATTGTGACTCTGTTGGTAAGTATCTAAAAATATTTTGCTTTCAACCAAGCAACACCATAATTAAGGGCTTCCACAACATTTCTTGCCTGTGAAGTTTGACTGCAACGATTCAATTGTTCTCTACATTTTTAGGTGGTTTATTATGGGCAGTGAACTCAACTTTAATTTGTAAGTAGACAATGCTATTAAGAGATTCTATTTTCAATATTCAACTGTTATCCACGCAAACACTTTTTTATTTTTAAGTTATCTCTTGATCACAGCAGAGCAGAAGAAATATTCTAAGAAAATTAGCCATTTAATTGGATGCATTTCTGACCAACCAGAAGGCTCCAAAGTCTTGTAAAAATACTTTTTTTTTGCTTTTAGCATCATGATTATTTTTTTCAGTATTTGCAGTGGAAGTTTGAAAGTTGTTTCAGCATTACAAGATTTTGAAACATTTAGCTGTTTAAATGTTTGTAGAAAGGTTTGTGTTTGTCATCTTATAGATGCACATTGCCTCTGGTATCAGAATGTCTTAAACTTTGGACTATATATTCTCTATGAGCTTGGTATTGTATTATTACAATTAGCATTTTTTGGTCCACTGAGTGTTGTGTTCTTAGTGAGGTCACCTATATCTAATGAAGATAAGTTGTTTTTATTAAAACCATGCAAGTGCTGGTGGACCCAAGGACATTTACATTTCATTGTAGTATGTTTCTTGTATTATAACAACTTTTAAATGCAAACATTTCTGCTCTTGTACAGATTGGGGCAGCTTTGAAAACCTGAATGCATTTAAGACTTAGAATTTTTTATGCGATTTCTTACAAGTTTTCATGACAATAGATAAAATTAGGGGAAAACAAAGAACTTACTTTCACAGAAGTTGAACTTTTGCTGACATAGTAGTTTGTCAGAATGAATACCACCCTAATATTATGTACTCATAAACCCAAATTCCACTTTCCTAACTTGTTCTTTGAAATGTTGGGAATTTTTTAAAAAAATGCTATTGATGTCAATTTAGGGGAGACCCTTGGATTTTTATCATTTATAGGTTAAAGTGGATCGTAATTGGGACTTCTGTTTTGGGGGATTAATTTGGTGAAACCTGATAATTATCTCTCCGTACCTCTTTTTCTTCTATCCATTTCCCCGCCCCCCCCACACACAACAAAATACAACTTGTTGGGTGAAACAAATAAAACTTCAAAGCTCCTGCCATCATTCTCCACGTTAGCAATCCTGTAATTTACCATGTCAAGGATGTCTTCCCCAGTTTCCTCCAGTCTCAAACAAACTGCCTTTTACTCAGAAATATCTGAACTATGGTGCACAGCCCAGATATAGTCCGCAAGCTCTCTGGTTAGCCCAAACACAAAGCCATCTCTGCAGAGGATTGGCGCAGTTGCATTCCAGATGATTATTGATTAGTCAGTTTTAGCAGCCTTGCAGACAGTCAGTGAATATGAATGACGCTCGCACACACTTAGTGTCATTTTGGCACTGATAACACAAAGATGGAAAGGTTTCTTTTGAAAAAGAGAGAATCATTCTAAACATAGTTGGATTAAGCCAAATCTCTTCATGAGAAAAATTCTATCAATGCAGAGAAAAGGTAATAATAAAGGTAGTTAGTGTGTATATGGAAAGGGAAGCCAGCTCGGAACAAACAATTGCTCTGCAAGCAAACACTTGCTCAGCATAAGCCGCCATATCTGTTGATCAGACATCTGTTACTTACATTGGAATTGACTTCTGCTGTTACTCACATAGAATTCTATTCTAGTTGGTGGAGATGGAAAGTGACCCTCAGCAAATGTGACAGCAAAAAAGCAGGACACATGGGCTGGTTCTGTTCACGGTCATTTTCATGCATTATATTCACAATTTATCAACTCTTTGTATTTTGTGTGTAAATTTATGATGTGTAAGAATTTAGATATACTCTTAGCGATTAATAAATGTTGTAGTAGATTTAAATTGCCTTGAAAAAGCACACTTGAATAAAATAGTGTTTTTTGTACGAGTTAGTTCTCAGAAATATGCTTTCTTACCTGATTGCTAAATTAGTGTCATAAGGTGTGCGCATTTTGATGTAATTTTTAAGCATCTCTTTAATTATCTGCATAAAGCTAAGTGCTCTGATTAACCTGAGGTTTTCTATTTTTGAACTGAAATGGCCAAATGTGCTTGCAGCTGGTTTCACATTTTTTTTTAGCTGCATTCAGGAACAAATAAAACTTAAATCACTATAAGTCTGTGTATGAATGTCATTACAATGAGTTAGAATAAACCTGCATACCTCCTTATTACTTGGAAAATAAATTGTGCTAAAGACCGCCACAGTAAACAAAATGGAGATCCTCTTGATTAGGGTAAACTACAGCATTCTTTTTGTGAGTATAAAAGATCTAATATGGGTTCTGTAGGTGGTGTCCCAGTCTAATTGATGTTTTTCTTCCGGTCTTTAATTGTGTTTATAATGCATACTTCTGCTTGCTAATTATTACTTTGTCGATATAACATCAATTCTATCATCAGTAAGATTCTTACTCATTCCTGACATCCTCCACATTCTGCAGTTAAGAGATTGGTCCTGCCTCATCTTCAGCCACCAGTCCATCCATCCCCAGAATAAAATGAGTTGAAGCATGAGCTTGTGGTATTGATCAATGCACCCTGCAAGGCAAAGACCAAAAAAGGCTATATGTCAACTACGCTATACATATGTCTGGTACATTGTGATAAATGGTGTTGGTACTGTACCAGTGAGAGTCTGAAAACAGTGCAGTTAAACACTAAGCAGAGTTGGGGGTTAAATAAATACCCCAAAACATGTACCAACTCTAGTCACCTATGTTTGAGTCTTATCAGCACCTTGTGTTACTGAGTTCATGAAGGTGAGGCGTCTGTTAAGTAGTTGTGTATGGGAACCTCTTGTCCCTCCTGTAGTAATTATCTGCCTCCCCCTCCCCCCTCCCAAGGTCTTTGTCAGTGATCTTGGAGACTTTGGTCACACATTGTATTCATTTCCATTTTTAATGTATTTTTGCTGTATGTTACAGCGCACCCGCGATGCTAAGCTTCATTTGGCAGCAGAAAGACTTAATGAATCTTTGGATCCTAATTAATTTTGCACCTTTTATAAAGTGCAAGTGCATACAAAGTGGCAATTTTTTTATTACATTTTGAAAGTCCATCTTATTTTTAATGTACTGCCAACATTCGTCTCGTAAAGGCAATGGATTGATTTAGGTTTTGAAACTTTACAGCAAAAAGTGGTTTAGTCAGATTTTTTAAATCATTAATCAGTCAAATCATGTCTAGTGTGTACATAGTGTAAACCAACAATGGAGCTAAGTTGGCCTAGAGATCTAAAAAGACTTGTTTTTTGATCAACAAATAGACATATTGGCAAAGGTTAAGAGGACTGGTCAAAATTGTTGGATGATTTAATGTGAATAAAAGAGGTTTCCTGTTTAAAGCTGCTGCCTAAAGTGTAACTAAGATATACAAACCCAACCAAATCCCAGATTAGACCCCTCGCTCGGCTGAAGTCAGCCAGAGTGGCAGCTAAACATTGCAATTGAGCTCATGATATACAACTGGGAAACTGAAACTATTATTCCTGCTCAGTATCAGTTCTTCCTGTAAGATATGTGTGTGGGCATGCATACAGATCCCCATATCAACTTTTGTTGACAGTTGCTGCCTTGAATCACTTGTGAACTTTGGATACTCGGTACCAAAGCATGGAACTAGCCCAGCATAAATTAGTAAAAGTACGATTAGGGATCTCAAATGGAACATTTTCTGGATCTTTGCCAGATACCTTTCAATAAGGCAAAACTTATATTTTGAAAGTAATTGCACAAGAGTTTTTCATACATAAGAGCAGGCCATTCGGCCCCTCGAGCCTGCCCCGCCATTCGATAAGATCATGGCTGATCTTCAGACCTAACTAATTATCTGCCCTATCCCCTAATCCCTCTGTTTTTTAAAAATCTATCAGTCTCAGCCTTGAAGATGCATTATGGACAGGAGAAAATCATAATTGCCCATTAACAGTAAGCAAAATGTCAGTCTGTGTGTGAGAAGTGTGCATATGGGAAGATTTGGGGTCTGGCATGTTACAGGATGTGTTAAAACAAAACAAGCATATCCTTCCTGGAGATGAAACAAAGCACCACTAAACCAAGTTTCAAAGCATAAGCCACATTATAGGAGTGGCATTTCTCATCAAAGACTTGTGCTATTTCAACTTTTTAAAAACATAGTCAAATGTTTTCTCTGTAGCTCAGTGTATTTTCACTCATTAAGCAAAAATGTGCAGATAATCATTTGCTTCTCAATTGGTGATAATTTACACCAAAACACCACCAAGGTTCAGTAAGTACTCAGTTGTTTATCTGTGACTGAATAGCAAGCACGGGTGCTACAAAATAAAAGCCTTAGCCTTAAAATGAAGCAGTTTACATCTCCAAAAAGGAGTAGGGGTAATACCTGAAAAACTTGACTCGTGTGTGTCTCATTGGTAGATAACAATTATTGCTCTACAGTTCAGAGAAAAGACTTGTATATTATCAAACATTTTGTTTACCTCTGTAAATGTTTGTTTCTGGTCAATGGATTATTAAACCTTACTGTTACCTAGTTGCAGATTCTAAAATGTTCTCAACATATTTACACTTAGACTTTGGGAGTTGGATTTTACCCAAATTATTGTTAGAAAAAACCCACTATACTGTAAAGTACAGTAGGCAGAAACAAAATCACTGTCCATGAATAAATAGTAAAACATTATCTAATTATATTCAGAGTATCCCAATAATACTATTGGGTTTTTAATCTCAATCCCAATAGTTTTTTTTCCCTCATCACTCAAAAGTATATTTACTTCATATCCTCACCAACATCTACTTTCATCTCCATCAGACTTTTTCTTACTGCTGGGAATGTGCTACATTCAATTGAAAATGATGGTTGTAGGAGATTTGCTTTGTAGAGTAAGAAGTGTTTTATTGAAAGATATCCATTTATGAGTCTGGCAAAGACCTAAAAAAATCTTCCCTTAGAGATAAATGTCTTGAACATCAACATAAGCGATGATCAGTATTCTAGCTTAGAATGGCAATGCTGTACTGCATTGGCCCAATGTATTGCATATTAAATTTGTGTGTATTGTTGGCTTAGCTTCTCTGACACTGTAATTTTAAGTTTTAAATGTTAGTAGGTCCCAGCAGAGATTGGTACAGGTTTAACTGTCAAGTGAATTGAAAATTTTATATTGCAAGTCAGGTTTATTTGTTTAGTATCATTGTTTGTTGATGCTCTAAACTTGTTCTACTGTTTGCCAAGGCCCCTTACATGAGGACATGGCTTAAGCAGCTGCTGCTGAGTAAGCCTGGTATACAGCCTTTGACTCAGACCTTGAGAACATCAAGGTGGCTGGCCTATTGCAAACTGTCCTGTAAAGGTCCTCCCAACCCACTGAAGGCAGATGTCCACCAGATAGCTGATGAGGAAACTCAAGAGGCTTGAGCAACAGCTGGTGATAGATTGCCACACGTGTCAGACACCTGGCTGACCCCCCAAATATTCCATCAATCCCAAGTTTTTTTAAAAAAAAACGTTTACATTTTGATTAGACATTCTTAGAAATAATTCGTTGGAACAACTTCTAACCTGAATTTTTTTTTAAAAAAACTATTAAAACATTGCAATTCAATTTTACCTTTTGCTCCCACGTGCCTGGAGAGAGAATTGTTTTTGCTCTTTTCTTTTCTGAAGTGACCCATTTGTGCGAGTATATGTTCGCTATTAAGCTTTGCCTCTTGTAATGGGTTGGAGAATTATGCTATAATGTTCCTACGTTATGCGTCTCAGTTCACGAGGCAGAACCTTTGGGGCTGGGCTGGCTCCGAGGGTATGTGCTGGGTAATGAAATGTCAGAATCAAGTCAACTCTCTGTAGCAATCTCAGCAGTCCAGTGACTGGGGCCAGGCATTGCTGACAGACCAGCCCACCAGCCAGTGCAATACACTTCCGTTTTGACAAACAAATCGTTAGGCAACAGGTAGCAGCAGCGCAGATGGTCTACAAAGAGCAAACAGTTGCCACGAGCGAGTTGCTGCCAACTGACCAAGGAAGAGGTCTTCCTGACAGGAAATAATGGTGGGAAATGTATTCCAATAACCATCCAAAGACGAAAGAGCTGGCCTGCTGAGAGTGCTACCATGATCTAACCTAAAAATAGAGAGTTTGGCATACATCCATGTACATTTTTCTGATTTGAGTTAAGTTATAGAATAAAGGCTGATTTGCTAGATGTAAAATGCTAATAGTTTACATTAATACTTGAACTAGGACTGAGGTCTACCTTCAGTCCACAGTGCACTAACTCACTGCCTGTTAATATTTTCATTAATGTAGCACCATGACATGAAAAAAAACATCTCCATAGGACTTAAGAGGGACGGGTGACATTAAATGGTTATAGAAACTTGTTATTGAGGAAACTGTTAGGCGAAGAGATGGGCATAGGTCAGTTTTGAAGTTAGAGAAAGAGAAAATGGCAAACTGCTTATGGAAGTGAGCTCCTGAGCCGAGAACGTAATGGTTCAAAGCTTACTTTCAATGGTGGAACAACAAATTATAGTCGTGTAGTGCCTTCACGTCGGAAAGACGTCCCAGGGCACTGGACAGTCGGATTTTGGGGGACCTAAGCTGGGAGTTGGAGTGGAGGTGGGAGGGTGGCTGAAGGCACGAGAGTCCAAAGAAATAAAAATCCAGATAATTACAAGTGCTAGTGGTGAAGGTCAAACAGAGAGTTATATCCCATTTCAAAAACAAAAGGAGCAATTTGAAATAGCGGAGACCAAATTTGTGCCAATATCACGCAGAGGATTTGGGGGATTTTAAACAAAAGTCCCAATTAATATTGTTAACCACTTTCAAATCTCAAGTACAATAACGCTAACCCAAATGACACGCACTTCTTTTTCTATAAAAAGCTTTATTGCTGATGTCTATAGTTATACAAGTAACAAATGACAATTAGGTTATTAGAAATTAGACCTTAGTAACACTTAAAAAAAAATCTCAGTAACCGCTTATAAAAAAAATCTCAGTAACCGCTTATAAAAACAAGGACAACTATGAATTGAACAAGATTTGCCAACTTTAGAATTTAAGGCTACAACAATGATTCTTCCTCCCCCACCATCTTAGTATCAGATCAAAGCATCTATTTATATACACGTGGCCTTCCTGGAAGGACACAATGGCTTCCGTCAGAGGGAACTGAATAAAGTTTAATTACTCAAGCAGGAAGAGTGGTGGGTCAATCTTGGCCACAGCATGATATCTGAAACAAATGAAAATAATCTGAATGTCCCTTCAAAGACAAATTCATTAAGTCAGTTCTCAAAACAAAAATCTGTATGCAATTGTTGTGGTTTGCCTTTTATCCTGTCTTTGGGTGTTTATTAAGCTGGTTTGTTACCATATACTGTCTTAATCTGTGATATCTAATGGGTTGCTTAAGATCACATGAATGGACTGCTCTTACTGCAGAAGCTGCAACATACAAACCTCACTACTGTATTCAGATTTTTGTGCGATGGACATTACTGTACACTTGGAAATCAATAGGTTCTTAATAATAAGCCTTGAATTTGATATAGCACCTTCGAGATATTTCAAAGTGCTTCACAGAATATATTGCGAAGTGAATTGACTGTATATTTTGTGGGTGAAATAATTGATCCAACAATATGAAAACAAGTTACTCACAACCCTGCGATTTCAGCAGATACAGAAGCGCCAACGATACTTACTTCGAGCCACGATATTTCTCCCTCACTGCCTGTTGAGGATGCTCTGCAATTTTGAGGTACTCCCGGTGTAGGTCAGTCAGGCATGAGTGAATATCTTTACTGCTGTATCCTGAGAAATTCTCAAGCACTGTAGTCTGGGAGGGGAGGGGGGAGTGAACAGGAAGAACCAAGGTAAGCTTATTGACGTGATAAAGAAAAAGCTTCAAGTATTTTCTATCCTTCCTTCAAGATTGGACTTTATTTTATTGGATGTAAGGTTCCTGGACACAACCGAGGTGGCCATTGGGCAGCTTTTTTGGAGAAAAGACGGTGAAATATTAAAGCAATGTCCATAATACCAGGTGTCTAACGTGAGCAGATGTGACAACAGATTTGGTAACGAACCAGATAGCTATAGGCTCCTTCTTTGTGGTGCATATTCAGAAAGAAAGAATACTGTAACCAAATAACCAACGCTTTCTGGATCTACGAGACAGTCATAATAATCCTTGTATTTGATATAGCGCCTCATCACGTCTTTGAGATGTCTCAAAGCACTTCAGAGTATACTGTAAAGTGAATTGACTATATTTGTGGGCGAATCGCAGGAGCCAATTGCGCACAGCAGTGACCCACAAACAGTCGTGGATTGAGTTTGAGTACTGTAAAAGGGCATGACTGATTTGAATCAATGAAACCAGTATTAGCCGTCGGAATTTACAGATGCCTTCTTCAGATTCTGCAAGTGACAGAAAATCCATTCATATTCAGAGTAAGTGGATTCTGACTACACCCAATTCCACAAAGTCACACTGAACAGTTCTCAGCGCCAGCCTTTCTTACGTAGCCAGTTAGAAAGGTTACGGAACACCCACTTGGGTTCAAAACTTGTGGTGGTAGCTGGCAAAGCAATATGTTGTAAGATTGTTGTAGTATTCGTACAATAAGTGCTTAAAGTGACAGATTCTCTACAAAGACTAAACGAGGTCCGTCAAACTTACCCAGCAAAAGCCAGTTATGGTGTAGTTGGCCAGGCAGAAGGCTGCCGCTGCAATCATCGATGGCAAGTATTTAAGAAAAGCATCTGCGTTAATTAGGGTCAACTCTCCCAGGTACTGAAAGAAAAGTGAAGTTAATCAGCATTGGCAATGAACGAGGATTCACTGCAGAAGAGCAGAATACTGAATTAGCGAAGCTTACCAGAGCCAAACTTTCTATTCTGCTGTTCAGCTGCTGTTGTCTAAAATAGTGCATCAAAAACTGGATTATGGTCGGTGCAGCCAAGTCAAAGGACAGGACTTTCAGCACAAGAGTCTCCATCTTCAGAACTTGGTTTATGGTATACGTGTCATCTGTGATGTAAACGAACTCCCCGACTTCTGGAGGGTAAATCTCTTCAAACTTCCTGCAAAAATCCCAACACCCATTTTGCTTCAGAAAGAACACCTGGCAAATAATTCCTCACTGAAAAGGCAACGAATGCCTTTCTAAGGTCCAATCAAGTAACCGGGTTTAGGGAATAATGCAGCGCCTTATCACGTCTTCGAGACGTCTCAAAGCGCTTCACAGAATACACTGTAAAATTGACTATTTTTGTGGGTGAAATGCGGCAGCCAATTGCACGCAGTGTCCCGCAAACAGTCGTGGATTGACTAAACTTTTTTTTAGTAATAGTTAGCTGTCGAATGCAAGTTTCAAGTCTTGCTACAAATGCCCATTTTTAGTCACGTTCCGCGTAACTGCCAAACACAAAAGTCTTAGCAATTAAGCTTATTGTGGATTTCATGTTGTATTTCATGTGCAAAGTATCAGGAGCAACAATACTCTGCACAAGATTATGGGGGGGGGGGGGGCGCAGTATGAAACTGGGTGCAGCACAAGACTAACCTCTAGTGGTACAAGAGTACCAGTGCATTTTGCTTTTCCTCCCAACCATTGGAGGCGTCAGAGTTGAGTTGAATTTAAGCCTCTGAAATGCACCGACTCCGTGCGAGAGCGCGACCGGTTGCCAGATTTTAAACACAAACGGGCGAAGAGCGAAAAAAAAAAGCAAGCAAAAAAAAGCAGTAGACTTACGATGCCAGAAACATAGCAGCAGTTCCTACAAGCTGCAGCTTCCCACGCTGCACTGACATAGATGACAAAAAACGATCAACGTAGTTGACAGCTAGGTGAAGAGTCTCGTTATGCAGCTTGTATTCTTCCCCAACCTCCACCAGCCAGTCGACTAGAATGGCCCGCATGCCATTTGTGATATCAGGCTGCTTGGACAGATAGGTAGCTTTAGGCATGCATTTTACCTGAAAGTTAAAGGTTGGAACGACTTTCAAAGGCTGAGCATGTTGAACACATTCCACCAATAGTGCCAAATTTTCCTTGATGTTCGGCCTCAAGGATCCAGTACGTACCTCTGCCTTTCTGAGATGTTTGAAGATATCGTTTGCATACTCTGATACCGACAGCACACTGGAGAGCTTGACTTCTGCCACACAATCCAGCGATGTATCCAAAACCATTGGAGAGCCTAGTAATATAAAGTTAGGTGAACATTGACCGAGAGATTGATAGAAAGACTTTGAATTTGTCAATTTCTTTGGCTGTTTAGAGTAAATGCACCGGATTGCAACATTAAATCCAAGCTTCTTCCAGTCCTGGATTTTTTTAAAAAATAAACCGAATCAACTTCACTCAACAGTATATTTACTGATCCACATCACATCAATGACACACTGCAGGACTTCAACCAGTTAAGACTTTAAGCTACGACCTTGCACGAAACCGTCGCCAGGTGTCAGCCTGGTTCAGTCAGTAGCACTCTTGCCTCCAAGTCAGAAGGTTGTGGGTTTATGCCCACATCGAAACTTTTCAACTCATATAGTCGAGGCTGATTTGTCAAGCACCTGCAGGATTAAATGCAACATATCGGCACGGGCAAACTTTGAATAATTTGAAAGTATAAGCACGGATGTGCAGTACCTAAAGCTGTCGCCAAACTAGAGGAAAACGTCCTGAAATGATGCATCTGATTTGGAGCATCTGGATTGAATTTAGCTGTTGCTGGTCTGCAACGTAAGTTCAACGTATACTTGCTCACCAGCAGAGACAAGTTTCCTGTTGCATGATTGAAAGTTGCTTTTTTAAAAAAACATGACATACCATAACTTACCATACGAATAATAATATTCACATGTATTATACGGGAGAAAGAGACAGTGTTCACCGCTATTTGTGGAAGAGTATGCATTTTCACTACATGAAATGCAAGTAGGCCCAAATTCAAACCTGCTCATTTACTGGCCACATTTAAAGGTATGGGGGGGTGGGACGGGCGCAGAGAAGATAATAATTAAAAATGAATAATTAATTGTCATTCCAGATAAGGAATGACAATTAGAGTTACTTGGGAAATGCAAATTCCCCCCAAACCATTACTGGCATCTAACTTTAAAACAAAGTCTTGTGCAGGATAAAAATATAAAATTACTCTTTACTATTGCTGTAGTCAATAATAATAATAATCCTTGCATTTGATATCGCGCTTTTCACGTCGGGAGGACGTCCCAAAGCGCTTCATAGAATATGCTGCAAAGTGAATTGACTGTATATTTGTGGGCGAACGCGGCAGCCAATTCCGCACAGCAATGTCCCACAAACAGTCGTAGATTGAAAATGACCAATTTATTATTGTTTTTTTTGGAGGGATTATCCTTAAACTGTGTGTGGGGTAAGGAAACTTGCCCAAGGTTTGGCCCTCTGCCTGGAATTGAACCCAGGTCTCTCGCTTGCAAAGCGAGTGCTTTAACCACTGAGCTACAGGACTCCAATAAACCAGCTCTGGAGATAAACTCGGTTTGAAAGTGACTTAGCAAAACCAGAATGAAAATTGTCTCCAGGACTCCCACTCCTAATCAGTGCAGCAGCAGCAGCCTGTTTAGAAGCACAGGTGTTGTCATGAGAAAATAATCCATCTACACCTATTAAATCCATCTCCCAATTAAATAGCAGTTAGTGTCCAAAGGGGTACTGGAGTGGGCACCTACAGACCCACGTACGGGGCGAGACAAAGGAGCAAAAAAAAACAATGTCAAGTCGTATAAACCCAGGTCCATCTTACTCCAGGACAAAGCAACATCTGCATCGCTTTGCAGAGCTACTTACCAATGCTCGTGTCGAGGGATTCTTTTCTGCTCTGAACCGGTTGGGAGTTCGCATCTGAAGGAAGAGTGCTCCGAGACTTCGACGCAGGTTCGTTCTGCTGGCAGTCGGAGGCCAGATCTTGGTAAACAATGAACCGGTCTTTCGGTGGGAGATGGACATCTTTGGTAGTGGCTGGAATCCCTCCCAATCCTCCCTCGGAAAAGCAGGAGCCTCTGTTGGCTGAAGTCACCTAAACAGAACAAAAACAGGACAAAACCGTGTAAGTGTGTGTGTGGTGGTGGTGGTGGGGGTTTGCATCCCCTCTCCCCCCCCCCCACACAACCACACACAGACCAGCTTATCAATTCATTATTTTTTTTAAAAAAAGAGTCGAAATGGCGGGTTAAATCAGACCCATTACCTGCTTTGCCGCTCGGAAGGGCTGTACTCGAGACTGCAGGTTCGACAGTTCCCCCAACACGGCCCTCTTCTGGTTGATTTTCCCCCCCGGGGGCTGGTGGTGATCTTTTCCTGTTGGAACCGGGCCATGGCTGTGCCCTTCGGGCCTGGCGGTTGTCTGAAGGTGCAGCATTGCCGGTAAGTATTCCTGTTTAATGGAGGAGGAGGGGGTGGGGGGGGTGTGTGTGTATATAACCCCCAAAAAAATCTTTGCGGAGTCTCAGCGCAGACACTCACTGTTATTTCCTGTAACTGCAACCAACTCGGTTCAAGTCTCCCGCGACTATTGGCCTCAGCCAATCACAGCCCAGCGCTGCCGGCTCCCTCCAATGGCAGCGGCCGCGCGTCACGGCGGGGGGCGGGGCGGGGGGCGGGGCCAGTCATTTGGAACGGAGCCAAAGTCGGCAACAAAGTCACCAGTGAACCCATCCCATCGGGAAGAGAGTCGAAGGGCCTGGTCAGCCCCTCCAGCCCGTTCTGCCTGTTCAGCCCCTCCAGCCTGGTCAGCCCCTCCAGCCCGTTCTGCCTGTTCAGCCCCTCCAGCCCCTCCTGCCTGTTCAGCCCCTCCAGCCTGTTCTGCCTGTTCAGCCCCTCCAGCCCGTTCTGCCTGGTCAGCCCCTCCAGCCCGTTCTGCCTGGTCAGCCCCTCCAGCCTGTTCAGCCCCTCCAGCCTGTTCAGCCCCTCCAGCCTGTTCTGCCTGTTCAGCCCCTCCTGCCTGTTCAGCCCCTCCAGCCCGTTCAGCCCCTCCAGCCCGTTCTGCCCCTCCAGCCCGTTCTGCCTGTTCAGCCCCTCCAGCCCGTTCTGCCTGTTCAGCCCCTCCAGCCCGTTCTGCCTGTTCAGCCCCTCCTGCCTGTTCTGCCTGTTCAGCCCCTCCTGCCTGTTCAGCCCCTCCAGCCTGTTCTGCCTGTTCAGCCCCTCCAGCCCGTTCTGCCTGTTCAGCCCCTCCAGCCTGTTCTGCCTGTTCAGCCCCTCCAGCCTGTTCTGCCTGTTCAGCCCCTCCAGCCTGTTCAGCCCCTCCAGCCTGTTCTGCCATTCTATCAGGTTATAGATCATTCCCCCACCCCTTGTCTCTCCCCCCCACCTCTCTCTTCTCACATTCACGCTATCCTCTCTCTCTCTCTCTCTCTCTCTCGCACGCTCAATTCACGCCGCCCCAATCCGTTTCGCCCGCGAGGTGCACAGTCACTTCACTTTCCGACAAGCCGGCGCGTCAAAAAAAAAAATATACGCCAGGTTGACTTGTACGCTCCGCACACCGATCACCCGCCCCTTTTGGTCCCGTACCCCTCGGCACCCTGACCCAACAAATATTTGGCCCCGCGGTCGATTCGCTTCACAGCGTATCCCGTGAAAGCGCTTTGAGACGACTCAAAAAGACTGATTAAGGGGCCGTATCAAATGCAAGGATTATTATTATTATTATTATTATGCACTCACTTGGAGTCCTGTAGCTCAGTGGTTAGAGCACTCGCTTTGCAAGTGAGAGACCTGAGTTCAATTCCAGGCAGAGGGCGAAACCTCGGCAGTTTCCTTACTCCACACAGAGCCTAATAATAGTCCCTCCAAAACTAAAAACAATAATAAATTGGTCATTTCCAATCTACGACTGTTTGTGGGACATTGCTGTGCGCAATTGGCTGCCGCGTTCGCCCAATACAGTCAATTCACTTTACAGTGTGTTCTGTGAAGCGCTTTGGGACGTCCTCCCGACGTGAAAAGCGCTATATCAAATGCAAGGATTATTATTATTATTATCTCGCTCCCTGTGGCAGCGTGGCCAGACTGGGCGGGTTCACTCCCGATTGAGCGAGTGCTTGTGCTGTATTGTGCGTGGGGGGGGGGGGGGAAAAAAAACCGCTTTGGGCTGCGGGGGGGGGGGCTAATTTTTTTAAAAAAACCAGGTCGGGTGATTCTGCTTTGAAGCACAATTAAGAAGGATCCTCGCGTTTGATATTTGCCTTATCGTCACGTTTGCTTTCTCGAGCTTGATTTACTGAGCCCACAGGCAGAAAGAAAGAAAAGCTATTGTAAAATACGATCGTGGCTGAGGCGTGAGGTGCTATGGTAGCGTGAACAAGGCTCTGACTCGCTTGAGGGCAGTTCCTGCAAAAAAGATAATACTCATCAGGTGAAGGGAAGGGATCCTGTTGCAACTGCTTTGGTGATTCATTCGAAACAACAGGGTCAGCTGTCAATTTAGATCGTAATCCCTGGCTGATCCCTGCTTCTCTCAATTATCACATTGCTTTGGAGATGCCAGCCAGAAGTTGCACTGCAAGCAAAATAAACAACAGGTAAAATGTTAACCTAAACTATTCACATTCCCATATTTTGTGACTGATTGTGCCTTGACCTGATCCCAACCCCCAGCTCGGGTCCAAATCCCTGGCTGTCCAGCGCCTTGGGACGACCTCCCGCCATGAGAAGCGCTGTGTAAATGTAAGTTATTGTTGATGACCCAGAACTGTTTGAGTACTTGTCAGAGCAGTGAACATATGAACTACAGCAGATATTTTGCTCGTACACTGAGAGCTGTGATGATCCTTGAGATGCTCAATGTGTTTCGGGCAGTTGACATTGTCATTGATGATGGTAAAATCACTCAGGAGACGATTTTTTATTCTGTTTTAAAATGATACAATATACATGAGACTGTTCAACATTAAACAGTTGTAAATAGGTGGAAAAACAGTATTCAAACGATGTTTTCTGAACTACTTGTCCTAACAACCTATACAGATTTTGTATTTGAGGCACCTACTGAAATGGCTGTGAAGCTGAAAAGAGCCGTCAAGTCTGTTGTGTTAATAATAATAATAATCCTTGTGTTTGAGTGTTCAAACTTATCCAGTATCTTCTAGCTCACATACTCTTATTTTCACTGTAATTCTGGGAGAACGGACTAATTAATTACTTAGCAGCTGTTCACCGTGAGTGTTGAACAGCACAGGATGATGCAAAGTCAAAGAGAAGTGCAATGTTTCCAATAAAAGCTGATTGAAAAAGATTGAGCTCGTCACAAGCTATCAAAAAAGAAAATTAAAGTGAGGGAACTACGAGTGAAGGGTTACAACATTTTTGCCCAGTTGAAAATTGAATAGAGAGCAGGATAAGTGCAGAGTGGGAGCTGGGGGAGAGGGGGAGCAGACTTGTATTTTAAAGACTTGTACGACTTTTTGTGTCTACTTTAACATGTATACATCGCTGGACAGACCGTCTACACAAAAACTGTCTGTCTGTCCGTCTATCTGACCAGATACGCCACAAAAACCCTAGGTATCAGTTGTCTCACTACTGCAGGTTCCTAGTGTTTCTAATACGGAGGTTCTGAGTATGTCAAAAAAAAAACTGATGAAATATAATGATTGGCAGCTAACTTGGGTTATCAAGTTGTACTGAGCAAGTCGTGTGTTATTGAGCAAGAGACCTACGTGTTATGGGGCAACGGGGGTCGCTCTATAACATGGGATTTAACATTACTTGCCTTCATTGACTTCAGCTATTGAGAAGCCTGTTCTACGTGGACATTACCTGCAATTCTCCAATAGTTGCAAATCTCAACTGAATGTGCCACTGATTCCAATTCCACTCACTTCAGTCTTTGTAGCATCCTGCCTTCTGTTGCTGTCTCTCTCTCTTTTCCTCCCCTCTCCTTTTTTGAATGCCTGAACCCTGTAACGCGGCACAAGCAAACAAAGTGCCCGCCCCGAACTCTTGGAGGGTACAATAAGCCCTTTCCACGCTTTTTCTGCAGACAGCTTTTTTTTTTTTGCTAAAACATTCAATTTCTTTAAAAGTACGCGGCAGCTGTTTTGATGAGCTTCAGTTCCTGCTCCTCTGGTCACAGCTACTTTTTCATGTTCTTGCCAAACTTGTCACTGAGTTGCTGAATGAGTTGCGCTAACTCCCCTGTCGTTTGCGACTTCTCCTCCAGAAGCTCATAGCGGAGACTAGAAATATCCTGCTTGATTTCTTTGAGTTCCCCTGAAGCACAATGAAAACCTTAGTGAATTTCAGCAGTTTCCGAAAACAAAGCTATCAGACGTAGTATTATCAGATGTTTAAGATACACTTTGACAAAGAAAATGAAACAACAATAATAATAACCCTTGCATTTGATATAGAGCTTTATCACGTCTTCGAGACGTCTCAAAGCGCTTCACGGAATATACTGTAAAGTCCAGTGACTGTATATTTTGTGGGCGCAACGGGACAGCCAATTGCGCACAGCAGAGTCCCCACAAACCGTTGTGGATTGAGGTGATAAATTTTAATTTATTGTGGGGGGGGAGAGGGGGGAATTTCTAAACCTGCACATAACACACTGGACTCAACTATATTGAGTTAATTTACTGGCTGTAGAATTTCGAATGCAGGATTATTATTCTCTTATTTGATTAATTTAAACAATCCAATGTTATTTTGTATTTTTTTTCTCCCCAAAAAGGACAAACACTAAACGCAGAGGGGGTGAAACTGCATGTGACTTTTATTCTGACTTTCACATTTTCATGCAGTGCCCCTACTCTGCCGAGGTCTCTCTGAATGGTCGCCCTATGATACAGGATGAAAAACGACTTGCCTTCGTTGACTTCATCACTTTCCCTGTCAACTTGTGCTTTCAGCACATAGCGCTTTATCAATCGTTTCATAATCCTCTGGAAAATGTTACAGAAAACATATTTAGTAGCCGGCCCACTAGCCCACGTCGCACTTCGGGTTTCCTGTGAATGTACATCAACAGACGTGTGATACCGTCGTCATTTAATCATGACACAATATCTCAAAGTTCAATAGTTATCACATTAATATTTGTGAACCCATAGATCCATCATTTATTTTAAGTGACCATAAAAGTGAAACTCATCCAAATCTCTAATTGGTTTACGTTAACAGCATTTCCTACATTTAAAGTGATTTTTTCTGTTAAACGTTTGAGACACTGACATAATAAAATATATTAAAAATATATTAAATATACCATTAAAATTAAAGAATAATTCTTGAGTTCCGTATGACCAATTAATGTGTATTATTAGAGGAATTGCAAGAAGTTGCAGTTGTTGTAAGAGAATTTGTTGTTTCACAAAGTGTGACTGAATGCACTAAATGATTGTGCCTACACTTTACAGTATATTCTGTGAAGCGCTTTGAGACGTCTTGAAGACGTGATAAGGCGCTAAAGCAAATGCAAGAATCATTATAGACCCAATTGGGCAAATGTGCTTTTACGCTTACATAAATCTCAATAGATGCGTCACAAGACAAATGGGATCCTGCTCCTCCAGAAGGTTTACACTTATTCTGTAATTGGTTTAAAATAAATATGCTCTTCATTTATTCAAGAGACATTTGAAAATGAAAGATTAAACAAGGAAAGACTGCTAATTTCTACAAATTCCAATCTGCCATCTCTTCTGGAGAATACTGGAACCACAACACCACCAGGCACAGGTGCGATAATAATAATAATAATAATGATCCTTGCATGTGATACAGCGCCTTATCACATCTTCGAGACGTCTCAAAGCGCCTCACAGGATACACTGTAAAATAAATTGATTGTGTTTTGTGGGTAATCTGAATGAGCAACTAACCTGATATCTTGTTGGATTGCTAATGGGTTTTCTTGTCCCCAAACCTTCCGAACCTCTGGGATTGCACTGACAACGATGACGTTGCTGGAATCAAATTGCATTTATTATTATTATTATTATTATTTACGTTTACTAGACGATCACATTATCTATACAACAGCAAACTGGAAATACATTTGGAATGAAAGCCATTCATTCCGTGTTCCTGTTTACCAACTGGCTGTCTGACACACGTGGAAACCCATCCCCAACTTTAAAAATATCCAAACCCGGACAGACTGAGCACGAGCAGCAGACTCTCCCTCCCTTTTGCTTTTATACAGCTCAGTACGGCAAGAATTTTGCCTCGTGATTAAAAATGTGCAGAAATAAATCATCTTAAACGGAAAATGCAGTGCTTGTAAACAACGGTGAGATACGTCCCTTACCTTTGAATTTAACATGCCCATTTCTAGATCGCTCTCAGACTTCTGCACCTTGGTTTTGCACAGGTGTATCAGGCACTGTTTTATTTTCAGTCCGCAGTAATAAGCCGATTTGGGGCTTGGCACCAGGTTAAATGGAGCAGGCAACGTTCTCCCTTCATCAAAGTAAGACAACCAGAGCTTTGCTCGAGCAAACTTCCACTCAACATCTGCGTCCTCCTGTGTGGATAAGAAGCCACAGTTACGTACGTACGTACATACAATAATCCCTTCTTAAAAATTAAAACGATAAAACTTTGGTCACTCGATCCACGAAGACGTCACAATCTGGTTTGAAGATTCACAAAAGTATTGCTCACCTCAATTTCCTGATATGAGCTGTTGATCATGGCGATTAACATGTTAAGCAGGACCACTACCATTGTAACGTTGTACACCCCATACAGAATGTACCCGATATTCTCAATGAACTTGTGATCATACTTGAGAACAACCGATATCACTTCTGACAAGCCAAATATTGACCAGAATAAGGTTTTGAAACTCTCCTCCACACTAAAAGAAAGGAAGAAAATAACTCTATTAATGCTGGAGCAATGATAAGACGTCAATACCGAATCATTTCAAATATTAACGACGGCTTATGGTAAAACGTGCCTTTGATTGAAGGTTAGTGTGGTTTTTCTTTTAAAAAAAAATGTAGTGAATTCTCGAAGACGTATATTTAACCCTAAGACTTTGAAACAAATAACAGTCGATGTTGCTTCAGATATCAAAGCCTTAGCTACCTGGTGTAGGTTTAAAGAATGAAATGCAATTTAGTCGAGTGCAATGTACAATGATACTTTAACAAATGAATATAAATTCACCTGTGTAACTTCAGTACGGCACTGGCAATTGAATGGTTTCATCAATACTAGTCTCCAATTTTGTGCTCCACGTAACTACTATAGCAAATACATCAGAAAGCAGGAAGAGCTGAGCAGGGAAATTGTCTCTCAAGAGCATTTTGTTGTACTTCATTCTCGATTCCTGAACCTTTTTCCCAGGAACCATCACCTGTGTATGGAAATGTTTTCCACTGCTATTGCACTGTCACGATCGTGTTTTCGAGGGGAGAGTCCTGGAGACTTTTAATGGTCTATCTGAAAATGGCCACGTTTAGAATGGACTAAAATACACTTACAACGATAATCAGCCGCAGGTTAATTGTTGTGTTTAAGTTGCTGAGAGTGTGACCGGTTTTCCATAATACTCAAACGGGATATGTACCTTTTTTTTGTAGTTTCTCGGACAGCTCAAAACATTTTAAGGGACAACTTTCTAACGGAGGCTAAATCAATTCACCTCCACGTGTTCTGCGATAGTGGAGTCACTTCTATAATACAGTATCAATTTTCATTTAATTGGCCGCCGCGTTTCACCCACAAAATACACAGTCACTCCGCTTTGCAGTGTATTCTGCGAAGCGCTTTGAGATGTCTCAACAAAGTGATAAGGCGTTATATCAAATGCAGAGATTATTGTTATTATTATTATGATTATAAAGCACCTTTCATGTCAGTAGGAAGTTTATGAGGTGCTTATAAACCCTGGCGTGGCTCCCAAGCAGGGCTTGACAGCAGAGAGCTGGAGGGAGGGAAGGATTTTTATAGACCTTTCGGTGTCCATAACACCACCGTTTATAGCAAATAACGTTCATAAAATTAGGGTTTTCACAGATTTGATTTGATGAGCAGCAATGTCCATTTTGTGGCATGTGTCGATGTGAAATACTTCATCTACATTTCGAGATTGATGCTGTGTTTCAATACTGCACATTTGCACAGTGAGAGAGAATAAAATGTGCTTAATAAACGTAATAGGAAAATAATAATAATATAATTATATTATAATCTTGACCCACACAATACACTTTACAATATATCCTGTGAAGCGCTTTGAGCCGTCTCGGAGACGTGATAAGGCGCTATATCAAATACAAGGATTATTAATATTATTATTGATCGATGTAGAACAGTAACGAGGAGCCCTGAATTCACTCACGTTGTAAAGGCTGGGTTGAACTTCGCTCCCAGATAGTAGGAATACAGATTGAACATTCCAATCATGAAAGCAACAAAGACCATAATGAAAATGACCATAAACTTGAAAATGTCTTTCACCGTCCTTCCAAGGGAGATCTGCAGAGGACCAAAGCTTTCGTTTGCGGGCAGAATGTACGCAATTCGGGAGAAACTTAGCACAACAGCTATTGCGTAAAGCCCTTCCGAAATGATTTGCGGATCTGATGGAAACCATTTGTTCCTAGCTGGAACGAAGTGAGAGAATAAAAAGAAGTCGTTTGCCCTGAGGATGCACATTGTATCTACAACGGTAAAAACAAAATGAAAACGCTGAAACTGCTGGAAATCCATATCAGGTCAGTCAGCATCAGAAAGAGTAAGTTAAGTTAAGGCCTCTTCACATTGTGTCAGACTGTTGACCTGTCTCGGTTTCAGACCAACCTGCTGTGAATTTCCAGTAAGCACGATAACGGTAAGATCAGCCAAGGCATAAGTACAGAGGGTAATAAACATATACAATTGGGGTAAATTTCCACCTGGGTCTAGTTTTACTCTTTTAGTGTAGCATTGCAGAATTGTTCAGAATTTTACATTGCGCTGCTTTGTAGCTGTCGGGTTACGATTCCTGTTTAAGTTCGGATGATTCAATATTTTCAGAAACGCTACCACAAAATGAGTCACTTTATGTGGCAGGTGACAGTTTACTTGAATCCTTGTGTTTTATGCTCATACTTCTCCCATCTTCAACTCCCGAAGGCAGCGATTTTGTACTGCGATGAAACCCTCTGTGAACCTTGATCCAAGTGACTGTTGGTCAGGTGTAAAGTGCAAGTAATGATCGCGTTCGGGTTATAAATGTCATGCGTGTGCTTTTACGCTCTTAGAATTGTGCCACAAGGTGGCTCTCTTTAGACATGCAGAGTATCGGCTTACACGCTCGCTAACGGTAGTGGGAATTTGTCTTGCAAAGTGAGGACGTTGGGCAACCGGGTACAGAACAAATGAATGTGTGATGTGGTCTTGTCGTGCGCAGGCATGTTCATAAAAGTACAGTAGACACAAATACATGACCTTCACAGCTACAAAGTTTGGAAGTTTGGAAGTGGATTATCAGGTTAATCTCATGTTATTTGTGGAGTCCTGCAGCTCGAAATGTGATAAGATGCTACTACTGAGTGCAAGGATTATCATCACTTTTGCGATCTGAGTCAAAATAGAGCTGGAAATGACTTACCGTAAGTGAAGTATGCAATGTGTGGAGGCAGTAATGCTTTGGAGAGATCAGTGGCGTTTACATAGGTATCCACATAGCGCTGTGCTTCTGAAGCCTTTAGAAATGCCATCAACCTTGCTGTGAACGAGGCAACGAATATAGACAGCATCCCAAAATCTAAAATGTTCCACAGGTGCATGACATATTCCTTGGGACCTTCCATCCACATTTCTTTGCATTCTGTCCATATCATGCCTAGAAAAAGTTGTCTCATTTGATGAGGAAGCAATGGCTCACAGAGTTAAGTGAATTCTTTTCATCACAGAAGACAATCTATTTTAAAAACTTCCGAATCCATTGCAGCTGCCCGGAAATATTAAGAACATAAGACATTTTCTAGACGAAAGAAGACCAGGTCCATCTAGGTTTACCATCCACCATCCTGGCAGTCGCTTGATGGTTTGGGTCCCAAACTATATAGTCATTCACTCGTTCATTCACTCACACAAAAGAAAACTATAGTTTTGTTCAGCAGAACTTCCAGGAGCACATGAACGGTTGAACGTGAGGCTTGATGAATTACAAAAAACAGCTTTGATTCTGGATATGACAAATGTAGCATAGCTGTATCAGGGTGTGAATGGCATTTTCGGTGTGTGAGGGCTAAACAAATCATACCAACTGAAACAAAATGAACCAACAATCATTTCCACAGATGTACAATACATGGCACAAATGTGAAGTATAATCTCCCAGTAACGCACTGCCATAAACAAACTTCAGCGCCGTGGGACATCCTCCCGACCTGAAAGGCGCTCTATAATGTAATTTTGTTGTGTGTTGCTGTTGGTAATTGTGTGTTTTGATGTAAAAGTTGAAGATCTATGGACAGCTCTTATAGCTGCTAATTATTTTTACCTTCTGTTTAGCACTTTGAGACATCCTTCCGATGTGAAAGTCGATGTATAAATTTCTTCCAACATATAAAACAACATATGATAAAACAACATGGCATCTCTCACCGTCTGTGGACCTCTGAATGAATAATTGAGAGCGATTTTCCACTCATGCCAGCACTAAGGGTCGAGGAATGATTAATACACCACTGTGATGGACTTGACATGCAATCAGTAACTTCTGCATTAAAGTGCAGGGATCTGAGAATGTTAGCAGTTTAAAGCTTGGAACTTTTTAAAAACTTAGCACTTATCCCAGTGCAATCAAGGATTGTGAAAATGAAATTGTCCATCACTCTCCTGATACCAAAATCAGTTCCCAAGGTTATTACTCTGTAATTTATTAGTTAATCCTTGCATTTTATACAGCGCCTCATCACATCTTCGAAACGTCTCAAAGCGCTTCACGGGATATACAGTGAAGTGAATTGTCTGGATATTTTGTGGGCTGTACTGTCTAAACCAGTTTGTTCTCAATGAGGCTGTCATGCGATCAAATGATCCCGATGATACCATAAAGTATTAGAGTGAAGCTGGAAAGCATAATTGAATTAGTTGGTCCTTTACATCACACCAAAGTATTACTCAATTGCATCATTGAACCAATTGCTTTGTTTCATTGTAGTTTTCTTGCATTATGCACTGAGCAGCTGATTATTTGTTAAAAGTCGGTTTGAGACAGAATCAGAGCAATGTACACTATCAAGTTAGAAACTGATGGCACCACACTAGTTAATGCTGTTTATTAGTTTAGAAAATACTGGGAACATTTACTGCTCGTGTAACTCCTTTGTTTCGCGATAACCTGCAGTTCGTGCAGCTTATTGTTTATTAATTTGTTAAATTTTTCCTATGAATTAACTTAGCAGTCAACTGAAGCCAGAGCAACAGCTTTTAGTTAAAAGGCAAACTTGAATTTAAAGCGATTGCAAATATTTAAAACCTGGCAATAGCGCTAGAACCGTTTCCAGAAACTACGTACCCAGTATCCACTTCATTATTAACATTTCAGTCCATGTAAAGGTTGTTGTTTTGACCCTGAAGATCTGTCTCGGGTAATCTGTGACAGTTTCGTTGGGTAAATGCTTGATGCCTTCAAATCTGTCTGATGCATTTATCACCAGTAATCCTAGAAAGATGGTGAACGAGACCGCATGTGCCACAAACTTCATAAAAGGGCTTCTCAATATCTGTCCCAACTGAAAACAAAGCAACGCCAGAAAGCATTCTGTTAGACGATGCGAGATCAAGTCATTTGTGAAGCCCTGATTTCAAATAGATTCATGATTTCAATGGTAAGACAACACAGAGGCAAGACTGCAATGTTACTGTGTTGAAGGATCAAATGGTCAAAGAGCAACAACGACAACAGCTTGCATTTACACAGCGTCCCCTCACGCAGGGCAGTGTCCCAGAGCGCTGGACAGTGGCGGAGCACGGCACCGAGCCGGGGGGAGGGGGAAGATGACCTTAGGCACGGTCAAAGAGGAAGGTCTTCAGAAGCGACCTGAAGATGGGGAAGGAGGGGGCGAGACGGAGGGATAGAGGAAGAGTATGACGGAGTTTCGGGGCGTAGTGTCTGAAAGCACAGCCACCAAGCTTGGAACGGAGGGCACGAGGGACATGGAGCAGGCCGGAGCCAGTCGAGCGGAGGCAACGGGTAGTGGGTCGATGGGTAAAGGGTCGGAGAGATCGGGATGGTGCCAGGACATGAAGGGATTTAAAAACGGGTGTGAGGATCTTGCAACCGACCCTATTCGGTGACGGGGAGCCAGTGGAGCTCAGTCAATGTCGAGGAGTAAAGTTAATGTTAATATCTACAGCTGAAGCTAATCAGACATGAAGACCGTCAGTAGCCACTGAAAAATATCTGTACCTTGCTGCACGGTGCAATCCAGTAGCCAATGGCAAGGAACGGGAGGCCCACGGTGATGCCAAACACAGTCAGACACTTCACAGCGATTGACTGCTGACGTAAGCCTGAGAGATTTTCATACCAAATTGTAAGCAATTGCTGCTGGCAGTTAGGATGGGCAACAAACTAATAGGAATAGACAAAAATATTTTACAGTCAGCTTTACAAGGGTGTTTTTAAAATTACTGCAGTAGGTGGAATTATGGACAATACAATCAAATTACTTTGAGTGGGTGCGTGTCTGTGTGTATGGGTATATATATATTATATGTTAGAGCTTGAATGAGATTCTTAAATAATAATAATAATCCTTGCATTTGACATATAACTTTGGTTAATAGAACAGACACAGGCATTTATTAAAATTCAGCGCACAGTAAAAGTATCTCGTAAGAAATGCCACTATAACACATGTTGCAAATGCCATTACCGTTTGTTGTATGAATTCAACAACTGCTTCAATCTCAATAGCACTTCTTCCAAAGGTTTATGGAAAAGTACACGTTTCGATAGGCAAGCGAATGGAGATATTTATTGAGGCAGCTGACAACGTGTGTGCTGTTTCATTATTTTAGCCTATGCAAAGTAACATAACGACCAATATGCATCTCTCTCCAATTTTTAATTCCTGTTAAACATGTCCAGGCACACAGTACATATCACCCTGAGATCCTCAGTGGATTGCTTGCCTTTCTTGTATTTTAGACTGAACGAGGAATGACAAAGAGCGTTAATATTCACATTTAGGATGAATGACGGCTCTTTTCTTGGTCGCTTTCTTTTTTAAAAAATCTTTAATACAATCAAGGTTGCACAAAAATTATACCTTTTTGACTTCATACTTAATGGCCAGCTTCACCCGGCTCAGACACGGCCTATCTCCTTGAGGCATGGAATCTACGTCTCCGTTCAGAATGGCCTCCACTTCTTCTGTGTCCCGGCACAAGTCCAGCACGCCCACAGCAAAGTCTTTGCATTGCATAGATAACTTCCTGTAATCATTCTAAACAAAAAGGAAAATGACATCTGCTGAGATGTGCCACAGTCATCCTCTCTCATCTCAGCAGAATAACCTGTAGCTCAGTAGTTAGAGCACTCGTCTCGCAAGAGAGAGGACCTGGGTTTGATTCCCGGGTGGGGCGAAACATTGGGCAAGTTTTGTTACTCCCCACGCCTCTGTTACCTAGCAGTGAATAGGAAACCGCTTGTTTCAGCGCCTTGGGACATCCTCCCGACGTGAAAGATACCATACAAATGTAATTTTGTTGTTGTTGTTAGTCGGTTGGCTTTTCCAGGGATAATAATCCCTTAAAAGAAAAAAAATTGGGTCACTCAATCCACAACTGTTTGTGGGACACTGCTGTACGGAATTGACTGCTGCGTTTCACCCATTTGATACAGCACCTTGTCACACCTTCGAGACATCTCAAAGCGCTTCATAGAATATACTGTAAAGTAAATTGACTGTGTATTCTTTGGGCGAAACGCGGCAGCCAATTGCGAACAGCAGCGTCCACACAAACAGCCGTGGGTTGAAGTGCCCAATTTATTATTAAGATGAAGGGACAAGTATCTGTGCACTCTGGCTTATTGTTTCCCAACCTGTGATGGTCACGTGGAGGATTCTTCCTCCTGCCCGACAGTACAGTTAAATGTATCTTCCCTGTATAGGCTTAGTTCCTGATCTTGGTTCAGCCATTACACCTTCCTGGTGAGTTTTCACCTCCTCTTCGTTCTCCTCCTCCCAGGTCAGGATGATCTATTGTGTTGGCCCAAAGATATGGATAAGGAAGAATTATCTGCGGAGAAATGAGGCAAAAGAAATTCCTTAATTCATATTGGACTATTACATAAACTGAAGATAATGGATTTGTCGTGCGCCAACCACTAACCATAGCAACCTCTGATGCACCATTAAAAGCAGGTAGCTCATTTGGCGATTGGCACATTGATTTTTTGCAAGAACTTTGAACATCACCTATGATTGTGTTGAATGTATGCGATATTGGGGCAGATGTCTACGGCAACCAAAACATTGACAGATGCTTTTCTCATATGCATTGCCTAAGCATATTTTGCCAGTTATAATAGCTGAGACTGGGATAACATTTGGAGAAGTAGAACTTGATTCCATAAAGCCATGTAAAAGTCAAATTTAACATTCATCAGCGTTAGAGGCAGATATCAGCATCTTCTTTCAGATAATGGAATTTGAGCATCATTTTAAGTTGATGTAAAAAAAATCTTTCTCTTTGGATATAATTCCAATGTCTGTCCTTTGTCTTAAATATCATGAAGCCGTTCATGTGCTTGTGAGAATAATCAGCATGTTATGCAGTTGTAATTACATTAGTTTAATAATATGCTTCTGCAACTGTTCCTCATCACTCGCACTGCAACCAAAATTGTCAGATGTTTTTTAAAGTTCTAGGAGCAACGTCTTCAAGAAGATTTAAAGTTAACGTGAACAGAACTAAGGTTTGCCCTAAACATTCCAGATGTACCTGATCCCAACCCACCATCTGTCTCCACTGATTCTCTGTTAGGTTTTCTCATTACTTTATGAAACTACTTTGACATTGCTCGATTTAGAAACGTATCAGCCATTTCCATTACATGTGGTACAGAAATGATTGCAATGATATAGAATGCAAGCCCTTTAGAGTGCAGGCACATCTTATAATCACTCGCTTTGCTGTAAGTTCAGTCTTCTTTGATGTTCAACATTTTTGCAAAGGTTTATTGTCATAAGGTCCTTCAGTTTATGTACAGTAAAACATGAAGTAAGCAGAACGTAAATCTCCATAAATGATTTTTCCATATCGTTTGTTGTCCATTGGACCAATAACTAGTCATCATGACCTAGGAGCAAGATGAAGTCTCTCTATACCGGAGGAACCTGGTGAGAATGAAAAAGACATAGGAACTGAAGAGATGCAATGATGTTCAATGTTGGGTTAACTGTATGATCAGTTGACAAACATTAACCTCTTGCTATGGAACTACTGTATCTCCACGAGACCATCACAGGTTAGAGGAACAACAACAAAACTATATTTGTATAGCGCCTTTCAGGTCGGGAGGACATCCCAAGACTCTGGACAATCAGTGTTTCGGACTTAAACGTGAAATACAAACAGAAATTGCTGCTCAAACTGTGCCGTGCTCTGGCCAGACCCCACATCATTGATGCCATCATCCATTCAGTCCCGGAGCATACCAGAATAAGGCCCACATCAGATTTAAGACCAGGCAGGGCTTTGGTTTAACCATGTGCATAGAAGCTTAGATACATTATACATCAGAAGCAATTTTGAGGGTGGTGCAAATTTGATATCTGCAGCAGGGGATTGAAATTGTCTGCAACTTGTTGTGCGTCGCTCTGTGTTAGGTACAAGGAGTTGGCTATTTGTTGTGAATGTTTCTGGAGTTTACCTGCAGTGGCAAACTTACTCAGCAGTTGATGGAATAAACATCTGTGTCGCGCTCTAATAATCCTAATCCACGCTGTGTCGTGTCTATTCAGATCTCTAATGAGATAGTGAAGGCTATCTGATTGGCAAAGGTGGGCTTTTCACCTGCTGGCACTGTGGTTATGTGTCGCTTTGTTGACTGTGGATGCCATTTCCATTAAGAGTCTCGAACGTGTCCTCAAACGTCACACGTTTAACTGAAAGAGAATATTTGTTTCCCTCAAAACAAAACATAGCCTTAGATATTCTGAAATGTTGGTTGGGCGAATTGTACGAAATTGCTTTGGGCATTTTAAACATTTACTGTATATGGGTCTTAGTATTAACACACAATGTTTCCAGGTTGCATGTTCAGTGATGAGTGCAGTTTCATTCAGCTTTAATTCAATCCGAAGTCAGACTTTTCAAACTTACCATAAAAGGTTGTTATTTTATTCAGACTAAAACTTATACATTCACCATTCACTAAAACACGCTGACATTTGTCCAGGGAGTACTTTCTGGGATCGTCTGCATTTTTTTGGGGGGGTCAGCCAGGTGTTTGACACGTGTGGAAACCCATTACCGTTACTTAAGAGTCTACAAACCAAACTGAGGATTCCATGGAAAATCCCAGAGATAAATTGTTGGAAAGGAATGCGCTCTCTCTCTCTCTCTCTCTCTCTTCCCCCTGGAGGGACGCTCCCTGCTTACCTAATTCCGGAGAGTGTTAGGTCCAGGTTGGTAAAGCCACAGCTTGGGGACCCCAGAGTGTAAGTTGGGGTCAACTGCTGGAGTCTAACTAGTTAAACTAACCCCTACCTACCTGCCCGTACCCTCCGTTCCTCTGGCTCCGGTCTGCTCCACATCCCCCGCCCCAACCGCCCTACCATCGGTGGCCGGGCCTTCAGCCTCTCAGCCCCGAGGCTCTGGAACTCCATCCCCCAGTGCCTTCGCCGCTTCCTCCCTTTCCTCCTTCAAGGCCGGTCTCAAGACCTTTCTCTTTGACCGTGCCTTCAGCTCCCCTCTCGACTCTCTACCCCTCCTCGCTCCCTCCCTTCCCTCCCCTCACCCTGACCATTTCCCCCCTCCTCGCTCCCTCCCTTCCCTCCTCTCACCCTGACCATTTCCCCCCTTGCTCGGGTCCTGACCTAACTGTACAGCACCTTGGGACGTCCTCCCGACGTGAAAGGCGCTCAATAAATGGAATCTTGTTGTTGTTAAAACCACATAGTTTGTGGAGCGTTCCTGTTGCTTATCCGGCTAGGACCAGCCTACCTGTTGGAGCTTTGGATTAACGGGAGATGAGTGGGATTGAATGGTTTGCCCTTCCAAGTCCTGCCTCAGACTCCAGGTAACGCCTTCCAACAGCTGTTGTGCCAAAACTCAGAGTTTCCTCATTAATTATCTGGCAGATATCTGCCTTCAAGGACGGTGGTGGTGGGAGGGGGTGATCTGTACTTCGTAGTTTTTTTTATACAGTGGATCATCCCACATTTCAATTGATAGTTTTAATATAAGTTGATCGCGATTCCACTATTTCAATATGTACATATTCAACTTAATATCTAAGTATCATCCATCGCCATAATTTTTCAAATGCATATTTTGCAAACGTATCAATTTTTAATAACCCTGTGGTTCTATTATATTGAGAAGATTTTCATTACATTTAATAAAACACAGGAACACACTAACAGTCACAGTTTTATGACGGAAATATGTGTACCAGGAAACCAATGTGAAGAATGCATAAATCCCCTTAACATTTATATGAAACACGATTTATTTGATTTCAAATAGACAAATGCGGTTTCCTTGGTCCAATTGCCATAAATTCCACACCCGGTGGAAACGACCGTCATTAACCCTCACGACAAATGACTTAAAAGTATGTCCAAATTGAGAAAGTTTCGCCCACAAAATACACCGTGAAATACACCGTGCAACACATTCGCTCAAGCCCTTTTCAAAGAGCTATTCGATTCACGGACACGACGGGCCTCCTTCTGTGCTGTATAGTTCTATGATACTAAATAATTCTTTCGACTGCGAAAGGGAGCAAGAGCGATGCTGCGAAAGAGTAAAAAAAAAATGCCTTACCTTAAATTCTGTTTCGATGTTGGCCAATCTGGCCAGCTCATTACTTAGTTCCAGCGCTGTTAGAACTGGGTCTTCACTGGACAGAGAGAGGTAGGCTGCGCTCGCTAAGCCCTTGTACGCGTTCATCCTGGAACGGGAATGGCTGAAGGAATCTCGCTTCTGCTTCTCCGAGCACTCGCTGCACTTGCAGAAGTAGTCGTGCGGTTTCTCGATCCGCGCCCCTTTCAGCAGGAGTATGTGGACTATCTCGTACTCCTGGCAGTGCGAGGCCAGAATGACGGGGGTGATGTCGTGGGAGAATCGCGTCCCGTCCTCATCGTAAGCGTAGAAGTCGTCGTCTCGAAGCTCCTGTTCCAGGGGGCTGATGGCTAGCCGGTGGCCCTGGGCGAAGGCCGAGTGATTGAGAATCGCTTCCACGATCCTCACGTAGCCTTTGCTGATGGCCAGCAAGAGCCCGTCTCCAATACGGGCCAGGTGCTCTTTCTTCAAGAGGAGCTCGGTCACTTCTAGGTGTTCGTTGCCCACCGCCAGCTGCAAAGCATTCTGCCCCATGTAATCGACGCAGTTAAAGTTCAAGGTCTTGGACTCCTCCAACATCTTACGCACCACAGGGATATTCCCATATTCCGCCGCGTCCAGGAAGCGCTCCTCCTCAGGGGTTAGGCTCGTTCCCCGCTCGTTGAACATGTAGGCTGGGCCTCGGATCGCCTGTCTCCTGCCCTTCTCTCTGAGGGTCGTGTGTCTCCGGTGCATGGCCTCAATATTGCTGCTTCCCAGCCTACAGGATAAGATGGTACGTAGGGAATGAATGCATGGGAATCCCAAGCTCTCTGGGACGCCACCCACCACCTCCCCCTCCTACCCGTGAAAGGCGGGGTATAAATGCAAGCTGTCGTTCTTGTTGGTGTTGCATTGTATCGAACGGTTACTGGAATGTTTGAATTGAGAGTTAAAACTCAGAACTACGCTTGATTTTACGAAAAATTAGCAAAAATAATAACAATCCCTGCATTTGACACAGCGCCTTATCGAGACGTCTCAAAGCGCTTCACAGGACACACTGTAAAGTGAATTGACTGTGTATTTTGCGGGCGAAACGCGGCAGCCAATTGCGCACAGCGGCGGATTGAGTGACCGTATTATTATTATTTTTTTAAGACCACCCATTCCACGGATTCAGCACGAACTGTATCACTGCATTACAGTTCAACCCTCCTCTCCTCTTCCTGTCTTTGCGCTTCAGTTCCTTTGCTGTACCTTTTCCAATCTCGGTTGTGACACCCTGACCGGTGTTGTACGGTCTGGTGTGGATGGATCAGTGTCCTGCCCAATCTGACAATCACTTGCGGTAACTTATGATCAAACTGTCTGGCGATATTAACTACTTACCTCCTCCAAAGTGGTTTTACATCTACTGCCACAGTGTTGACCATGTGTGACCAAAGAAATGATAGAGAACTATTGCAGAACCTCAGGCACATCACTGATGGATATTTTTTTTTCCCCCTAAGCGGTTGAGCACTGATTTTCTGCGCTGCTGCTGATGTCTCTAATTTATTTTCATATCACCGTGTGTCATGCTGCCAAATAGCCGCAACTCTCTGCGTAACGCTTACCGTCTCCTGCCCCTAAGTTTCACGAAAGATACAATAGCGCTGTTGCAACAGGGCCGCGCCACAAATTTACAGGAAACCCTCTCTGTACACTCCCAAAGATGTCCAACAGAACACAAATCGTAATGAAATAATAATCCTTGCGTTTGGTATAGCACCTTATCACGTCTTGTTGTTGTTGTTGTTTACAGCGCCCTTCGGGAGGGGTAGCGTCCTGGAGCGCTTAACCGTGGCGGAGTCTGACACTGAGCCAGGGGGAGAGGGAGGGGGGGCAGGTGACCGTAAGCACCGTCAACAAGGAAGGTCTTTAGGTGGGATTTGATTTGAAGGTGGGGAGGGAGGGGGGGAGAAGCGGAGGGATTGAGGGAGAGAGTTTCAGGTCATAGTGGCTGAAGGCACGGCCATCGATGGCGGTACAAAATCTCATAGCTTTGCAATTTTAAATGTTTAATTACTTTCACTATTAGAAATTAATAATTCATGTGCCAGAATATTAGAGTTTGGGGCATAATTCTGTACTTTCCAGTTTACTGAAATGCTAATTAATGATCATAACGGTGGAATTTTTTTTAAACATTAAACACATTAATTATTTATGGTAATATTCTTTCTCGCCAGAATTTGTTTCATATGTAGCTTTAATATTACCGTTTTGCCAGTCATTAATCATACATTTGTAGCAGACAAAGTGTTATCTAACGGTGTTCTGAAATGATATAAGGAATCACTGCACATTCTTTTAACATGAACTACAGGACACTGTCAAAAAACCCTTTTATTATTAATTACACCAATTATAATGACACTTTCGACACTTACTTTGGATCCAATAAAGGTTCTGCGCTTGAATTGACCGCAAAGTATATCTTCGCAAAGTATACAATTTCAAACGGAGGAACTTATTCCATATGGAGTTATCTCCATGAAAGGACAAGAAAGACTTGAATTGATGCACTCGAGTGCAATAGACACGATCACTGCGAATGCTCATGAGATGCTCCACTCAATGTTTCTAACATTATGGGAGTGTGCCAACATTTTAATGGCAATTGTAAAGAACGTCACGATTCAGACAATACTACCCCCAAACTGAGGCTTAGTGGAACAGAGCTGAGAAATAGAAAAGGCAGAGGAGACGGTGGGGGGAACCTCCAAACAATCCATTTAGCATCAATTGAATTGAAATATAATTCTTGTTCATTATAGTTTTGAGACTTGTAAATTATCTTCGAGTGTTTAGGAAGTTACCAAACTGTGACTGATACACTCCGTGAGCTGTGCAGAATGAATACATATCTCCCGGGTAAACGTGGTTCCCAATGGCTCAGCTTTCACACCAAGATACATATAAAATGACTTGAAATTTCAGATGCGTCCAAAGTTAGGGTGGGGTCGGAGACAGACCAAGAAACACAAGTAATTATCCCCAGCCCCTTGGTATTTTCCAAGGCAACAGCAACACATTTTATAACGTAGAGTTAGTGGACTGCACACATACAATTAATTTGAAGTTGTGGTTGACATCTGCTCAATGTGATAAGGGTCCCTGTTGCCTCGAGCTGACTGATGCACTTGCACGTAAACTGAACGTTTCTACGATTTTCATGTCTTTGCCTTCATTAAATCATGGAAATGAATTTGCCCCATTGGGGGTCCGCATAGGCTCTCACAGCAAAGGGGTCCGTTCAATCTCACTGCCCCGCCTTATCCCCACACCCCTTCAAAGCTTACGCCAACAAACGCTACTCAATACATCGGCACAACTGCGTAACCACTAATAGGACCGAAACAGTAGAAGCCGGCAGCTGTCCGGGGGCGGCCCACGGTGCTGATCTCTACCTGTGAGACCGAGAGCGTTGCTGTACTTGATCAGCAGATGGCAGTCGTTTCTTTCAGGATAAAACGACAATACATTCCTGGCCATTCCTGTGGCTCAGTGGTCAGAGCGCTCGCCTGGCGAGCGAGAGAGAGGACCCAGGTGTCGATTCCCGGGCGAAACGTTGGCCAGGTTTCCATACTCCGCACGCGTCTGTAAACCCCGCAGTCAGCAGGAACCCGGTTGTTAAGTCGATTGGGGATCACTTTTCCGAGGATGATAATCCCTCCCCAAATAATAATAATTTGGTCACTCGTTCCATGAACCTCTGCGGGGACGCTGCTGTGCGCAATCGGCTGCCCCCGTTTCGCCCACACAATACACACAGTCAATTTACTTTGCAGTCTATCCTGCAAAGCGCTTTGAGACGTCTCGAAGAAGCGATAAGGTGTGATGTCAAATGTAAGAATTACTGTTATTCACTTCATGATTTTTGGTCAATCGTGGCTATCTGTGCACACTGGCTGCCCACTAAACATCCAGTCACTGCACTTTACAGTTAAATCCCGTGAAGCACTTTGAGACGACATATCCATTGTAAGGATGTGTAATGATTCGAGGGAACGTGGAGAAGTCAGGGGATGGAGTCACAGCCCGGGGCAGTAATTGGCCGTGTTTGCCATTTGTTTTAAAAGGGCAAATCACACAGGAATCAGAGGGCAGTCATTTTCATTTGGGTTCACTTCAAAACCACTGGAAACCGATCAAACTGTCAGCCTTATCCCTACGCTCTGTTTCAGGCTGACTTCATCCAAATAATCTCAAATAATCTCTCAGCGGCAGACATTGCATCGCGATGTCGGATTTGACATCAAAATTACCCGTCCAACCAACACCAGGAGCCCCTCACCAGCGGCCCTACTGTCTCTTCCCAAACCCCTCGCCCCCAACACCTCACCCCCATCTCCTGCCCGTACCTCCTGCCCTGAATGCTTCACCAGCGGCAGTCGGGCTGTCAGCCCATCTGCTCTCTATCTCTCTCTCTCTCTCTCACTCAAGGTCCAGCTCAAGAACCTCCTTATTGTCTGCACCTTTGGTTATCGTGACCCTCCCCACCCGACTGAGCTCCCACCCCCAGCTCGGGGGCCCAGCTACGACAGTCACGTGGCTTGGGACTTCACCCCCACCCCCCCCCACTCACCCCAATCACCGCCCCCCCCCACCCCACCCCAATCACCGCCCCCACCCCCCCCACCACAATCACTGCCCCCACCCCCCACCCCAACCCAATCACCGCCCCCACCCCCCCACCCCACCCCAATCACCGCCCCCACCCCCCCCACCACCCCAATCACCGCCCCCCCCCCCCCATGTGAAAGGCACTGTATCAATGTTGATCTGTACAGTTGGGGATCACAAGATACTTCATGTCAGTATCCCAACACTTCAGCTCAACATCTCACCCAACACCAGTGCCCCATCACCAGCCCCCCCCCCCCCCCACACACACACACACACACACACGCCAGCCCCCCCCACACACACACGCCAGCCCCCCCCACACACACACACCAGCCCCCCCCCCACACACACACACACACACGCCAGCCCCCCCCCACACACACACACACGCCAGCCCCCCACACACACACACACACGCCAGCCCCCCCACACACACACGCCAGCCCCCCCCCACACACACACACACACACGCACGCCAGCCCCCCTTTACGCACACACACGTCAGCCCCCCCCTACACACACACACGCCAGCCCCCCCCTACACTACACACACGCCAGCCCCCCCCACACACACACGCCAGCCCCCCCCCACACACACACACACACGCACGCCAGCCCCCTTTACGCACACACACGTCAGCCCCCCCCTACACACACACACGCCAGCCCCCCCCTACACACACGCCTGCCCCCCACTTTACGCACACACACGCCAGCCCCCCCTTTACACACGCCAGCCCCCCCTTTACACACACACACGCCAGCCCCCTTACAAACGCACCAGCCCCCCCTTTACACACACGCCCACCAGCCCCCCTTACACGCCCACCAGCCCCCCTTACACGCCCACCAGCCCCCTTACACACCCACCAGCCCCTTACACGCCCACCAGCCTCCCCTTACACACCCACCAGCCCCCCTTTACACACCCACCAGCCCCCCTTACACACCCACCAGCCCCCTTTACACACCCACCAGCCCCCCTTTACACACCCACCAGCCTCCCCTTACACACCCACCACCCCCTTACACACCCACCAGCCCCCCTTACACACCCACCAGCCCCTTTACACACCCACCAGCCCCCCTTACACGCCCACCAGCCCCCCTTACACACCCACCAGCCCCTTACACGCCCACCAGCCCCCCTTACACACCCACCAGCCCCCCTTACACACCCACCAGCCCCCCTTACACACCCACCAGCCCCCTTACACACCCACCAGCCCCCCTTACACACCCACCAGCCCCCCTTACACACCCACCAGCCCCCTTACACACCCACCAGCCCCCCTTACACACCCACCAGCCCCTTTACACACCCACCAGCCTCCCCTTACACACCCACCAGCCCCCCTTTACACACCCACCAGCCCCCCTTACACACCCACCAGCCCCTTACACACCCACCAGCCCCTTACACACGCACCAGCCCCCCTTACACACCCACCAGCCCCCCTTACACACCCACACACACCCCCAGAAAGGTTCCCAGTTGTCTCTGAGCTCCGGATGAGGAGCAGAGGTTCAGGTACTTACAACTGATGCTCTGAGTCGCTGCCTCGTCTGTCCCGCTGTTGCCA